TAGTGCTGTAAATTAATACAAAAATGTATGTATGTTTATCACAATAATAATCTGGGACTTAAACTGCAGGATTTGCTCATGATTCATTTAAAAAGTTTTATTTGAACTTAATTACAGTACTTTAGTAAATGGGCAAATTAGATATAGCTAGATCAGGAAATGGCAACTTTCTTTGAGCATGCATACAAAGATAAAAACCGTAAAAAGATATTGTGGGTGTATTACATGTTCTCTGACAAGATAAAGCTCTTCCACTTCAACAAACTGCTGTTATCAGATAAAAAGCAGCTTTACCACTTCACCTTTTTTTCTCAAAGTGAACAACTCCTCCCTGAAAGTTATCTTTGAAATTATGTGCATTTTTTATATTTATGATCAGCGGCAGACAGAGTACTTCAGAGGAAAGACATTTGTGTTTATCAGCATTTAAAATTAAGATCCCTGCTTTCACAACAATGTCATGCTATTCTCTTTTTATTAACCAGTAAAACAGATCTATACAGGATCAATACATTTAGAATATTATTCATCTGTATGGCTTTGTAAGATGATATGTCTCTATTTAACACAATGGACTTGATTATCTCACTTGTTTCAGTCTTAAATCTGTATTGTCAATGTGCTTTGGCAATAGTATGTTTTAAATGTGGGCATGTCAATAAAGCTTATTTGAATTCGTCTTGACTCTCAGCGTGAGAAAAAAACAAACATTTCCTTATATCTTTGAGATAGATATATAGATAATTATCTGGTACAGTTGCTAGGACTACCTTTAGCACTTAAGAGGTGTGACGTATTGATGGTGTTTTGTTTTGTTTTATCCTTTACGCTATTGCCATTTTCCCAGACATCAGACATCATATTTCAAACTATCTAGATGAAAATATTTTATAGGGCTGTTTTTAAGACCTTGCAGCTCTGGGTCTTAGCAGACCCTAGGATCCATGCTCAGTTCCATGCATGGAAAACGTTGGACAGCAACATTGTGTAATATATATAAATATAAGCATCTCAGGTGAACATATTAATATTGTGCCTCAGGTTAAGTACCTTGGAATCATTATTGACTCTAATTTAACATTCAAAACACAAGTCAAAAAAGTGACCCAAAGAGTAAAGTTTAGCCTAGCAAATTTTAAATACATAAGAAACACAATGACATTGAATTCTGCCAAGTTATACATGAATGCCATGATCATGTCACATCTAACATACTGTCTCACAAGCTGGGGGAAAACTAACAGCTCCACACTGAAGCCACTAGCAACCCTGTACAAACAAACCCTCAAAGTACTGGACCAGAAACCTAACCGCTCCCATCACTGTACCATCCTCAACAAGCATAACATCCTGAGTTGGGAAGATTTAATAAAGTATAGGAACATCGTTCTGGTGTACAAAATCCTGCACAATACAGCCCCTCCACCTCTTAACTCATTGGTTACTCAACGTAACAACACCAGACTGACCACTAGAAGCTCCACACGTGGCGACCTATCAGTCCCATTCAGGAAGAGTACTTTTGGTCAAATCAAAGACATACATACACATACCACCTTCACAGCTCACTTAAAATCATGGTTCACTGAGAACTACACCTGCACACACTAGTCTGTGTTGAGTATGGCGTGAGTGTTACATGTTGTGTTACATGTTGTGTTACATGTTGTGATCATGGATGCTGCCCCTCATTTCTGTTATGTGATTGTGATGTGCTATATGTGACATGTACTGTATGTAGTAACGCGTGTTGTTTATTGTTCTCTTTTATCCTCTCTTATCCTTTCGCCTGTATCTACTTGTCTTTCAACCTTTTTATTTTATTTTATATTTTTTTATAACTAATGCTGTTGATATATTGTGATTTTAAGGGTGTCTATTACCATCTGGCCGGGGACAACAGCTGGAAATTAGCCATGTCGGCTAAAGCTGCTCCATTTACTGTTTATGTGACAGCAGTGGCGGCGCCAGGGTATGGCTGGGGTAGGCTACAGCCATACCAAGAAATGGCTTAGCCCCACCTTAGCCCCACCATGAAAAGTGATGCAAATTCAATTAAATAATAAGCGAAATGCTAAATGTTGAGAACACGGATTGCGAAAATATACGGGTCGTGTCCACAGCACACAAACTGATCCTGCTGTAACAACAAGTGCACGTTACTGATGCAATATGGTTGAGACCATTCGGGCTTATGCTATGAGAGGGGTGCAAGGAATAGTTTAAGTAGTGGGGGAGTTTTATACACTAAAGGTGTGGAAATTCTCTGGCGTTATAATATCAGCGCGGCCGCAGTCAGATCAAAATGCCTCCGAATGCAATTTGAATAGACCTACAGCCAATCAGAGCAACGAAACGTTGGATCTGCGTCATGCCTTATTGATTGAGATCAATCGAAACCGCCATTCAGTATCCCCATTGGATCTTCAACGTGTACTATCATACGTCACGTTCACAGTGATCCCTTTTTATTTACTACAAGACAAATGTGCCGTTTTATTTCATACAGTTCCATTTTGATTGAGACAGGGAAATAATCTAAACCTCACGCGTGGCGTTTCACTGTCAAGGGGGGCGATATAGCGTGTATCTAATTACATTGCAAATACTGATTTGAGCACCACCACTGTATGGGTTAGCCCTACCATAGATTACCCAACAAAAATGCTCTGGCGCCGCCACTGTGTGACAGTTCATCGATGGGGACTGTCCACGACACTATAAATAAATAAACTAAACTAAACTACCTTAGGAGCTTGGTAACACAAATTAAAGTTGCACTCTTTTTTCTCTTTTTCCTCTTGTCACATGTGTTATCATTATTTTGAGTTTACCCGTGCAGGGTTGAGTATGGATACACTGTTGGAAAATACAAGAAAGGTGATACAAATTATGTACACAGGTTTAGAAGCTCTAAAAGGTGCATTTTTGAGAAGTGATTGGAGAACTATGTGTAAAGGAGAGTTGTTACAACACAGAAAACACCAGAATTTAAACTATGAACATTAATATAATTTCACTAATAGTTAATAGCCTAAACAACCCAATTAAAAAAGTGCTTACACAAATGAAACATCAAGGTGGAGATATTGTATTTATGCAAGAACACATCTGTCAAAAGTACTGTGTGTGTGTGTGTGTGTGTGTGTGTGTGTGTGTGTGTGTGTGTGTGTGTGTGTGTGTGTGTGTGTGTGTGTGTGTGTGTGTGTGTGTGTGTGTGTGTGTGTGTGTGTGATTGTTTGAATGCGTTTATTATAATCCATATTCCTGCCCCTATTTACTTGTTTTGAACACCACCAAGTTTTTACCAAGTTGTCATAAAAAGTCTGACTTCAATCTCAGAGTTATACGATTATAAGGGTCATCTAATTAACACCAGATTTAACATATTCAATCAATACATATAGTTTTGATCATAAACAGCTGAACAAATTAGTCTTTCTCAGGCAACATTCTTCATTTATGTTGAGATACATATGTAAACCACAGATATTTGGGGTAATAGCTAAAGTTCTTCTTCAACATATACTTATGTGTTGGTTTACCAAGTCAAATGCATGGATTGGTTTGAGTGACAGAGAGGAAGCGACCTGGAAATGGGTGGATGGATCTCCACTGAATCTGAAGTAAGGCTTTACTTTGGTTTAAATACAGACACTGGTTTATGTTGTGACTTTTCTAACTTCATTTACACTGTGAGGGCATAAAAGTCACATTGGAATGGGAGTCAACACAACACACAGGATGCATTTAATTAAAGTAAATGTTCAAATTTGATATAACTAGATCACGCAATGGCAACTTATTTTGACACGCATACCAAGATAAACACATAAAAAAAAATACTGTGGGTGTACTGAATGTGATTTGACAAGATAAAGCTCTTGCATTTCAACCAATTGGTGTTATCAGATAAAAAAGTGACTCTTCCAACTCCTATTTTTTGTTTCAATGTGAATAACTCTAAATGTTGTATGTATATGATCAGCAGCAGACAGAATGCTTCAGAGGAAAGAAATTACAATAAGTGAAATGCACACAGCTGATTTGGACTCTTTGGTTATTGGCTTTATAAAGTTTCAATTGTATTTTGTTAATTTATAGTTTTTTCAAGATTCAAGATTCGAGGCTTTTATTGTCATTCGTACATAGCTACAGTGCAGTTATGACAATGAATATATTAGGTCCCAGGCTCCTCCTACAGTGCAACACAATACAGCAGATAATCAAATAGAATAGAAGTAGTGCCATAAGAGTCTATATACAAGTGATACATCATTTGTGAGTTGCAAACTGGTGAATGGATGTTCTTAGTTCAGGTGTTTAACAGTCTTATGGCCTGTGGGATGAAACTGTCCCTGAGTCTGGTGGTTTTAGTCCGGATGCTGCGGTACCGCCTGCCAGACGGCAGCAGACAGAACAGTTGAACCGTCGAACACCCTCCACATCTCAGCTGAGAACCCCGGATACGATTCCAAAAGTGGGAACCTACTTCCCCGAAAGTCTGACACCTACTCCAAAGTGCTTCCCAGAGGAGACCCATGAGGAAAGCAATCTTAGCCTTATCTGAGGCATATGACTGCTGTCTGGCAAACAAAAGTTCACACTACATAAGAAAAGACTGACACAATCCCACATCACCGTCATACCGCTCAAGAGCGTGGACCCATGGCTCCCTGACAGTTTGTGAAATCATGGCTTCCTGTACCGGAGTTACCGGAGGGGAACAGGCAGACTGTCTTTAATGACTCTGAGGGCTGGTAAGCTGGGCTGAAAGATCCCACAGACTTTCACATTACATTTCCAACCTGGTCTCACCAGAGCTCCAGCATCTTCTTGACATGAAGCCCTTTCTCTCAGTGTTTCATGCCAAAGCGCATGACTTCAAATGTGAAGTAAGGAATTGTTACCATGTGACACAATCACTTTATGTAAAAACCTCCTTGTGAATAGTGACAAGTTGTAACGAGTCGTACTTTTGAATATATTTTAAACAGGTTAAATGGAGTGGGGCATATCAAGAGGGGGCTGGACTAACCCTAGGGGAGGAGGTGGAACAGGTCAATGCCTTCCTCTCTCGGATAGCAGTGACCACAAAACACATGTCAAAAGCAGGTGAGTTACGATAGAACCTTTACTGTCAGTTTTCAAAAAATGTTAAGAAAGGCACAGATTACACTAACAAATTACACCAACAACACAAACTCATAAAAGCTTATTGACGGTTATGACCAGAGAACACCATTTAGGATGGCAATATAGTATAAACCCCAGTTACAGTATAAGAAGTAAGAGGAATAGTAATAATGTGATATTCTCTTTTGCAGGACGTACAGACATGCTGACGCTGATGGCCATGCGCTGGAATCAGCAAAAAGTCAGCAACTTGGCCACCTCACTGTCCCGCAGATATCTGAAGGTAATAACATAGTTTTAGAAGAATTATTTGTGGCTGCAGCCTAAATGTAGATTTCTGTATTTACTTGTCTTTAATTGTTTGACGTTTGTAGACCACAAAAGCTCTGAAAAAAAAAATTGCAGAACCTGGAGTCCATGAAGGCTGAGTTGGCAGTGACTGAAAAGCAGCTGGAAGACTGGGTCAGAGATGTGAATGAGTGGGCAGAAAGTGAGGACAATCTTAATGACGTTTTTCAACTTTTTTGTAGTCATGATTTATCAATTTATTTTTAATTTTCAGAATTAGTGATAACCCTCTATTGACATTTGCATTACTTATTTTTCATGAAGCATATGTAATAAAATAATATTAAAACATTTGATCAAATGTCACTGTTATTGTGAATTACTGTGCTTAATACACCTATTTCCTCTAAAAAGCAACAACAAACAACCCAAGGGATGCTGCTGCCTTGGCCAGCAAGATCGAAATGCTGACAGTAAGTGTCAAGAGACGTTCGCAGCGTCTCTACAAAGACACAGACAGCAACAAAGGTCGTTCCCGGATCCGCCGCAAGATCAGGGATGAGAAAGGGGTCCTGACAGCCACAGTTGAGAAATACAACTCAATGGTTCCAAGCACAAAAGCGCTGTGCCTCGAAGCCATTCTGTCTGTGGAGAAAGCTTGGCCATGGCAGCTACCAAACAGTGGTAAGTACACCAGTCTGCTGAATGCTCACAGCAAATGTGGAAAACCTTCATGTCTGATATATAAATCTATTTAAGACTTCATAGATTCTTTGAATGTTGATCTTTCATACACATTAATTCATGTTTTGTCATAAATGCTTTCCAGACTCTTTCGACCTCAGGACAAAGAGAAGAGCATTCGACCTTGTCATGGCAGTGAAGTGACTACAGGAGGAGAAGAAGATTCTCGTCACAGAAATGAACCACCACTGGAAGGTCCTTTAAACCCGCAGTGATTCCCTGAAAGAGATGTCCTGCCTGCAAAGTACAGTATATATTACATTTTTACTTTGCATGACTTTACACATCAGTGATAGGTGATGAAGTAACTAACATTGTCTTTATCTTATACATTTAAGATTCACCATTGGGCCTGAGCGAAGACGGGATGAAAGGTCTCCAGAGCATGTTTAGGAAAAAGCAGCACGACATCGGAGAAATGAAGACTCATGCAAATACAATCTTTTATATTATTATTATTATTATTATTATTATTATTATTATTATTATTATTATTATTATTATTATTATTATTATTATTATTATTAATAATATATATATAAATAAAGACATCTTGTATTTTACTGCCATTGATTAATTTTGTCAACATTGGACCTTGACACCGTCCACATGGCTATAGTGAAATATTATAATAGAAAACATTAAGCCTCTTTGATTTAATAATCTGAGCTGAATCCTCTCTGCCATCTCATATAACACACACTTCCTTATTTATCTTTGAATAATAATAACATAAAAATAAATACGACTATACTACGGTCCTTCGGTCCTGAGATTAGCGCCTGCAGGCTCTATGCCTGTCAGCTCTGGACAGCGCAAAATGCGTATATGAAGTGCTATGTCATGAATGCAAGAAATCATACCCTTGTGGGGGCGCGCTCATGTGATTAGAATGGGGAGGCTGTGGCGCAGTGGACTAGTGCGTTGGTGTTCGGATCAGGGGAGCACAGGTTCAAACCCCACTGCAGTCAGCATGTCGTTGTGTCCCTGAGCAAGACACTTCACCCCAAATTGTGGGGATTGTCCACAGTATTGAGTATGTAAGTCGCTTTGGATAAAAGCGTCTAACATGTAACATGTAATGTAATGCAGGAGACATCTGATTGGCTATAGATAGAACAAATTACAAGTACAAATCAGGTCACCGTCAGGGGAGTTAAAAAAAAAACACACACGAATGCACAGCGACCCATGCACAGAAAGCGGGTTGTGTTTGTTTGTAGCCTTTATTTAACCAGGTTAAAAAATCCCATTGAGATCAACGATCTCTTTTTCAAGGGAGACCTGCGGTACATTAGTTACACATAAATTGCATTGTGTTTGCAGGTGCAGCAGTTTTAAACGGAAAACAAATATGTGTGGATCTTCTTCTTTGAGTCCGTAGCAATCTCAGATGTCGTTCTGCACAGGCCACAGCTGGGGTAGGTTCTGCCAGGTCTTCTGGACTGTACCGGGGGGCATCGGCACATTCCAGTAGGTGGGACATTGTCTGCACTGATCCACAGCTGCACGTGTCTTCTGTGGTGTAGTTCCACACTTTCATCAGTGCTTTGCACCACCTGAATTTTCTTTGAAATAAAAAACATCTATATTGATTCTGACACTTCTTCATCCAACTCACAGATGTAACCTTGCTTTGATAAAATAAATTATTCATATAACCCTTTTAGAAGTTAAGTTGTAGTCATTTGTTTTGGGCATGTCATTTTCGAGCCTGAAACATGAAAAACAGGCTTGGTGCTTAACAGGTTAAGTGACTTCCAGGTTGTCCAGCCAAGGTCGTGGCCACTAGCGAGGCTTTCCGTTGGTGTGATTCCTCTGTCCAGCCATTCAAGAGCTTGTGTGTCATGTGTGGATCAAAAATACATATGTAAAACTTTTTTCTGTATTTGGATTTCATTTACATGTATATCAAACGGAACACATGCGACACAACCCTCTGAACAACACAACCCTCTGATGCGTGTGTTGGTAGCTTGGCACGCTACTTCCCTCTGATGCGTGTGTTGGTAGCTTGGCACGCTAGTCCCTGGAACCTTTGCTGCTTCCAGTGTTTCCTCTTGAAGTCTTTGATCACTACCACTAAAGCGCTATATAAGTACAGTCCATTTACCATTTACCCAGTCACCGGGTTTGAAGTGGTGTTGTGGCGCACCAGCTGGCGTCGGCAGTACGGCTTTCACCTGAGAGTGGATAGCTGAGAGGGAGACTGAAAGACTTATACAGTAGTTCAACAAAAGGTAAGTTAAATTGTCTCAACTTTCAGAAACTAACATTACATTAACAGAATAATATTCTTTAAATATGTGCCAGTTCGTCTTGTGCCAAGAGAGCCAGCTTTTCACACCAAAAAATATTTGTAGCTGCTTTCACAATAATGACATGCTATTCTCTTTTTATTAACCAGTAAAATAGATCTTTACAGGATCAGAATATTTTGAATATTATTAATCTTTATGGCTTTGTAAGATTATATGTCTCTATTTAACACAATGGACATTATTATCACACTTGTTTCAGTCTTAAATCTGTATTGTCACTGTGCTTTTTAATATTTTCATATCAATAAAGTTAATATTTCCTGATATTCTTCTTTTTTTTTATATATAAAATGATTTGTGATTTCCTCAAAAAGATAAAGCATTTAAAAATTCAAACCAGCAACCACACTTTCCCCGGTCACATACTTCAGGATACTTGCTGCAGAGCTGACCTTCGAGGAAAGAGTTGGCATTCCCATGAGCAATGGAGGAAGTCTATGCCAATGTTGACGATGTCCAAACCCTAAGCTCAAGATCATCAACAAAACAAGAAGGTAAGAGTGTCAGTTAGAGTGCACTGTGGATTTTGGATTTACAGTACTTTTTTTTACTCCCTGGTCTTCTCTGTGTTCAGGTCCCGGGAGACTTCTCAGAGCTTCTGTTCTCGGTCTGGGGCTGCTGGGTGTTTTCCTGCTGGCTGGACTCGTCGGCCTCGCTGTCCACCGTGAGTCTTTCTTTTAATAAGTTTAATAATGTCATTTTGAACGTGTGATTTTCAGAGCAATATTCTGCTCTGAAAGATGCACTTTCTACCAAAAATATTTTTTTTTCTACTTTTCTCCTAGGTCCAAAATAGGAAAACGTTCATTTTGGTTTGTGTCAGTATGATTGCATCAGGTAATTTAAGAAACATCTATTTTCATTTCAGATCATCACTCAGTAGGTGGTGCAGCTGCAGATCTCTCTGCTGTCAAAGCAGACCTCACCGAGCATCTCCAGGCCAGAGATCAGCTGATCAACCAGCTGAAGGCCAACCTCACTGAAAAGACCAGAGAGGAGGAGTGTTTGAGTGAGTGCTTCATGTGGGGGTTTGCATAGGGCTCGGTGTGTTTATGTAAGATATCAATTATCATAATATTTTTTACAAAATACCTCAATATTGATAGTCTAAGGCTGACAATTGATCCTTTCATAAAATAGTTACACAATGACACTTTTCATTAATGATAATTAAGAATTAGTTTTTAATGACTTAGTTGTGAATGATTTCATTTATAGTTTGTTTTATTTTTCTTCACCCACCATATTTATATTTCTTTGTAAACTATGCTTATGGCCAGTTCCCTTGTCTAAATTACTTTTAATATAAGCAATAGGAAGAAGAACTTAGTGGTAGTTTGTTCCAGATATTTGCAGCATAATAATAATAATAATAATAATAATAATAATAATAATAATAATAATAATTTCCAGTCGGTCTAGTAACTAACACAGAGATGTTGCCACTGTCTGTGTTTAAGTGGATGTCTTTGAAGACTTTAATAAGATCAGTCTCAGTGCTGTGGTGCCTGACTAGATCACATCGAAACAGTTATTTAAATCCCAAAAAAAGAGAAGTAGTTGTTTTGCAATGAAATGTGTGATCTCATTTGATCCCTCTAAAAATGCTTAATAAATATGTGTTTTCATTATTATTACAAAAGTGACATATAATGCACTCAAGAGTTCCATATTTCAGCAGTTAAAGCAGTAAATCAACAAGATCTTAAAACTTTTACAGAGAAAACGTGTCCTGAAGGATGGAGGAAGTTTGGTTGTTCCTGTTATCTCTTCTCTACTGAGAAAGCTTCTTGGGAACAAAGCAAACAAGACTGCACAGCCAGCGGAGCACATCTGGTGATCGTAGACAGTGAGGAAGAACAGGTAATGTGTGCTGCTTTAACACTTGTGATTGTATAACTCCTGCTTTTATCAATCAATAATGTTTTTATTGTACATATACTAGCAAATGTGTCTGTCAGCTATAATGATTACGTTACAACAATGGTGTTGGTTACATATTTCTGAGCTAGTAAAAAGGGAAAAGTTATCTGAAT